TTTCATTAATAAAATAGGATCTTCTTTATTTACTCCTTTAGTGTTCATAAACTGTCCAGTCACCAAATTCTGGTGGTTCTATTTTCCGAATGCTTTCGATAGAAATGTGGGATGACCTCTTGCCCTTTATCATCACTTGCTATCTTGTCATTGGGTCAATCTCTATTGGAAGTGAGCTCACAAGAATGTCACTGGACTCAATCTCTATTGGTAGTGCGCTCACAAGAATATCACTGGACTCAAACTGTATTGGAAGGGAGCTCACACGAATGTCACTGGACTCAATCTTTATTGATACTCTGGAAGTGAGCTCACAAGAATGTCACTGGGCTCAATCTCTATTGGTAGTGCGCTCACAAGAATATCACTGGGCTCAAACTGTATTGGAAGGGAGCTCACAAGAATGTCACTGGGCTCAAACTGTATTGGAAGGGAGCTCACACGAATGTCACTGAGCTCAATCTTTATTGATACTCTGGAAGTGAGCTCACAAGAATATCACTGGGCTCAAACTGTATTGGAAGGGAGCTCACACGAATGTCACTGGGCTCAATCTTTATTGATACTCTGGAAGTGAGCTCACAAGAATGTCACTGGGCTCAATCTCTATTGGTAGTGAGCTCACAAGAATGTCACTGGGCTCAATCTCTATTGGTAGTGAGCTCACAAGAATGTCATTGGGTCAATCTCTATTGGAAGTGAGCCCACAAGAATGTCACTAGGCTCAATCTTTATTGATACTCTGGAAGTGAGCTCACACGAATGTCACTGGGCTCAATCTTTATTGATACTCTGGAAGTGAGCTCACAAGAATGTCACTGGGCTTAAACTGTATTGGAAGTGAGCTCACAAGAATGTCAGGCTTCCCAACAATGAATCCATTGACTCGTGTACTAATTTCTTTAAATAATAAACTCCTTATTTCAACTTGGGGTAGTTGGAGTATTCTCTTCGTCTTTACTTTCCCTGTAATCCTTTGGTTTTTGTATGCAGTTCCTGGTAATGTATTCTTTGAAATTACAATTGAAAATCTCATGTACTTCTTCCATTCTAAGTAAACAGTTGTCAGTTGATCATTTAACTTATCCTAAACAGAGAGAGTTGATGATGTTGTTTCATCAGAGAATCTCATAATTACAGGATAGTGCCTCTAGTTGTTTATTTGCAACATTAATTGATTCAACTGCCATTATCAACAATACAGCTTCTCTTAAAGATGTATAACTACTTTCTTTAACCTAATTTTAATATTCTTGTCCACTATAGCATACATGAATTGATTGCGTGCGAACGAATCTTTCATTTCATATGTACGATCTGGATTTAAAAAAAAATATCTCCACATATTTTGCAACTTCAGCTGAGGTCTCGTCTTTTCTCCTTACTCTACTCCTAAACTTTTCTGCCAAGAATGTCTGGTAGTTGTTTCAGCTCTCTCTCTCAGAAGGTTGCTAAATGTTGTGAAAACTAATCCTATTAAAGGCAGCAAGATGAATACCTTGTTGTTACCTATAACATCTATCCATCCACTTTGGAAATTATGACATTAGATGCCTCTCCTGGAAGTTTTCCACTACAATCAGTTAGTTTCTTGATTGGACGCTGTTGTTGGCCTGTCTACTATGGTCTGTAACCTGATGAGGTAATGGCAGACCAGGAAATCACAGTTGTATGAGTATTAACAAATATACATCAGATGGTTATTCCTTTTCTATCTGGCATAATTAATGATGTTTGAAGTTGTAATTCTTGAGCGAATGAGGAGATGTGTGTGCGTGTGGATGGTTTAATTCTCACATTTGCCAATTCAAATTTCAGATGTTTACCCTGGCGTTTATGTTCATTTATGCTGTCATTATAGTCCGCCTGAACTTCATTGCTATCCTTTTGTACTGCGTTCATGTCGTTGTTTAACAAAAATACTAAAAAATGGAGTAATATGTGCGAGTTCAAACCGCTGTAACAATATGTTAAGAACATAAAATTCATTATAATATATACGGATTTTAAGGTCTGTTCTCACTATTTCTTAAAAATCAAAACTGATGGAGAACTGTATTATAATCAATGTTTATTAACTACAATAATCAACAAATCACTTCTTGTGCGACAGCAAAATGATACTACGTATTGTTTATATACTACAAGACTGAATTTACAGTATTGTCATGAAATAATTTATGTCATGTACATCATTCTCATGTGGAGAATCTCAGTTCTAACCCGTGCTCATGTCGTGATGGTGAAATATTATATACCATAACATAAGAGATACTA